TATGAACTATAGATATGTATTTCCTGTACCGTTCATGAAACTGTTATGAACATTGATCTTTTGCCTATAGCAGTAATTTTACACGTTTTATTTAAAAACATAAAATTCAGATTTTCAACTCACAAAACTATAACCCTTCTCAAAGTCTCAGTCTCGGGTTTATTCTTAAACTATTCTTAAAAAGTTCGAAAATTTTAGCTTGATATTCTTATCAAAGATATTCTTGAAAAAGAGCGTATGTTCCTTTTGAATAAAAATTTTTGAGCTAAACTATAAAACGTTCGTTCGAAAGAAACACACTTTTGTTAACAAAGAATGAGGAGGCAGTGAATGGGACAAAGTCCCTGTTTGAGAACGAAGAGGTAAACCTGAAAGAGCAACAGGAAAATACAGGTTCTCTGTTGACTGACTAGTCTGCTACAAGGCCGTTTTTAGTGTCGTCACGTTGCGTGACGACACTCAAAACGGCTGTGTAGCAGACTATCGACTGGCGGGATTCTATTGTATTACTTTTCTTTTATATCAGGGGCGAATCCAGGATTTTTTTTAGGAGGGGGTGCACCCGTCTCTTGCTCTACTTCAACATCAATAAACCACATAGTTTTTTTTTCGCAGAATACCAGTTGTATTAGAAAACCGCAGGTCATCTCAGGGGGGGGGGGGGTACCCCCTGCACCCTCCCCCTAGATCCGCCCCTGTATATCATGCTATTTAGCCCTTTTTTCCTGACTGCGCCTGCAGGATTCATAACAATTTTTATCTTGAAACTAGTTGTCGAGGGCCAAAATTATCATTATGACAATAAAATAACCAAACTTGCCGCCATTTGGAATAAGGTGTATTGTTGAGTTACAATACAATGCAGTACATTTTAATACGCAATTTGCATGATGACATCATTTACTGCTACGACCAGAATCGTTCAGGGTTTTCTTTCCTTGTGCATATTACGGCTATTTAAATCTCGCTGGCATCACCAAATTTAAATGTAAAAAGAAACACAAATATGACTATGGTCGTAGTAGTAAAATGACGCCATCGTGAAAATAGCCTGTTCTCCCAATTGGGTTTTTCAGAATTTCCCATGGCCAAGGGCTTTTCTTAAGAGTTGTGGAGTCTTTCGTAATTTGATGACGTTATACACTTCCACTGATGAGCAAGATTTTAGGCTTCATTGGAAACCGCCTTCGTCTGATCGACAGGGCTTACGATGCGTGAAAGTTTCCCGTAGTTTTGCATATGCAAATGTGCCCTATTGCCATATTTTTTTTTTCCTTTTCAAGCGTTCTTCAGTGAAATGGTAACAACATGGTCAAAACGTTTCTTCTTTTTCTCCGCTGGACTCTCTATTTTCCTTCTCGTCGTGCTAACTTTAGATGACATCTTACTAGCTAAGTTTGCAAAGCGGACAAAATCGTCGTTGCAAAACAAGACACATTCGTTTGGAAACAACTTCCACGCGACGCTAAGCATGAATGCAAAAACTAACAACTCACAACTCACGCAACTGAAAACGACAAAGACACTTTTACTCATCTATACCACTTTTTTTGGGACAGCAAAGTGGATAAGCGATCGTGATAACTGTGGATTTGAAAACAAGTTTTTATTTGCCGCAAATAAATGTCTCTCAGGTGATTTCGAATTGACCTACGACAAACGGCGGTTTGGGGAAAGCGACTTAGTCGTGTTTCACGCTAGAAACATGCCAAGTGTAGGTCATCTAAGAACGCTGCTGAAAAACAGGTCCACTTCACAGCGCTGGGTATACGCTTTGTGGGAAAGTCCAATTGTAACACCAAATCCTGCTCCATTAAACGGGCTGTTTAACTCAACGTTGACTTACAGAAGCGATTCAGATTTTTGGTCGCCGTATGGAAGTTACGAGGAACTGACTGAAGAAGAAAAAATGAATAAAATAAAAAACATACCGGACTATTCCCAAGGAAAAACTGAACTTGTGGCTTGGATGGTTGGTAATTGTGGCGCTCAACCTCGAATGGCTTTTGCCGAAACGCTGAAAAAATACATCAAGGTTGATGTGTTTGGAAGGTGTTCCGGAAAATTTGGGCAACAGAGAGGTTGTGGAGATCTAACTGCTTGCCTTAAAACGTTTAAGTTTTATTTGTCATTCGAGAACGTTTTATGTGAGGATTACATCACTGAAAAATATTGGGGAAGGCTTGGTAAGACCCTTGTTTTTTTTTTACCATTTACAAAATAGTTTTCGGTCGGAAAGTAAATAGAACACGACTTTTTGGGTCTTAGGCCCAGTTCAAACGTCGAATTTCACATGTGCCGAACTTAATTGCTATTTTAGTCGACTAAAATAGTTAAATACGGCATTTGATTCAAACGTCGAATTTAACTCACTGAATTCTGTCGAATTTAACTCTCTTCGCTGTCAATATTCCCAGTAATATAATAATAATTTACTAAAATTCATTCATTAAGTTTGGCACAAGTGAAATGCGACGTTTGAATCAAAAGTCGAACCTAAGTCGAATCTTCGACTGTTTCAGTCGCAGATACGGCAAACGTTGCATTTAATTTAAACAGTCGAATTTAATTGATTCAAACATCGCACTTCACATGTATTTAACTCTCGCGTTAAGTTCGGCACATGTGAAATTCGACGTTTGAACCGGGCCTAGTTTCCAGCAGGGAATTTCGGCATATACCAACTCTC